GTTTTTCAGTGAACCGAGCCAAAAGAACCGGTTCTCTAAAAAAGAGCCGAAATTCTCATCAATAGTGACTGAGTGAGAGCACGGAGTAGAGCCCCTGTGCTTACGCATGACGCACACACCCAGGCGGAAGAAGAAGTAGTCCCACCAACCGAGCGTCACTTAGACAACATCTCAATAATTTGGATACTTTTCACCATGTTTCTGTTTAGGATACACCTCATCTCAGAATACATAAGTACCAAAAGTATCGATATTTTGATTTCAGAATCAATTTCAGAGCATAAAGATCCAGAATCGGAAGTATCGATATTTCAGGATCGATCCGCATATCACTAGTCAGTACTCACGAACGAGTTCCCGCAGTCTTACTTTGTCTGAAAAAAGTGGTATTGTATATCCCTAATATACTGTATATAGACAGAATATATACAGTGGTGAAATACTGTTTCTTATTATTACTTTTATTTATTTTATGGCTAACTGAGTGTCAGGCTGCCACATTCTTGGCAATTAATGGGAAAAGTTTTTAAAAAATGGGTTTCAAAACATGTGGCATTAGACAGACCAGCAAATACAAATTATATTTTGTATTTATATTTATGTTTACAGAAAAAAAGTAAAACTAGCTAAATTAATTAAAAATAAATAGTCCTGCCATTAGCATGCTATATATATACATATATATGTTTAATAATAATATAATTTATTTCTTTGTGTCAAGGTTTTTTTAATTCATTAATTGGGTTTCTGTTATCCAATAATTACCATACTTTGACCTGTAAAATCTCACAACCAGCACAGGCAGGATGTGAGACAGAGCAACAATTCTGCGAGGAGAGCTCTTAAACAGCTCCTGCGTGCCAAAACAAAATTTATCGATCAGCTTACTTCCAAAATAAATATCTAGCGGGTTTGTCTTATCACTGACAGCCCTCTCATTATGTACACATTAGGAAAATACGGTCACAAGATTAATGCACATTAAAAGTTGTGGCGGGACATTGCACAATTTTACTGCAGGGAAAATGTGTTAAGAAAAAGCAAATCAAGGGATTTTATTGCATATATATTTCAAACCCATATAGATAACTGACATTTTTATGTGAAGTTGGCAGCATTATTGAAATGGTCTGAGCCAGTCCAGATGTGGTTTTTGTTTGAAAATTGTTCTTAGAATAGACATTCAATTTCTTTATGTTTATGTTAAAAGACAGCTGCAAGTAGTGAAATGGTAATCCCAAAAATGGTAATCCAGCACGCTGTAATCCATGTCACCAAAGTTCCGGTATCATTGTTTTACACAGACTGTTGTATCTGACCCGCGTTTCAAGGATTTAAGGCGTTCAACATTCCATGTTTCACAGAAAGATTAGTCATATGGGCTTAGTTCTGGAGCCAATAAGACTAAGGTTTTGAACTTTGTTTGTTTGATTAGATCAAACAGTTTTTGAGAGGAATGCCAATTGCTTGCTTATATTGAGAGGAGTTTCATGTTGCATAACACACTATTGATGCAGTTGTTTATAAACACAAAAGTATGATTTATCCAATTACTCAATTAATCAATGACAAACTCGTCAAAATGTGCTATTCCAAAAATATTCCATAGTTGCAATATATGTGTGAATATATATATATATATATTGCAATATGTTGCAATTTATTCAGTAAGTACACTAAATGTGATCCTAAATTACTGTGAAATTTTTTGTTTACAAACACAAATACTCTGCTTTATTTAGGCTCAAGTAAGAATAATATATATTTCCTTTTTTGCTTCCTGCAGTTTATTCAATTACTGTGATTGCTGCTGCCATCTTCTTTGTACTGCTGTTGCTCGGCATCATCGTTGCAGTAATCGTCGTATGCTGCAAGTGCAGAAGAAAGGCTCTTAAAAAGGAAAAAGAAGAAATGCCACTACAGGGTGTTTAGTAGTGTTTTTTTTTTAAACTGTAAGTACAAAACGTAACTACTATACTATAGTTTTCTATTCGCAAATGCAGCTCATAATACCTACTTGCCCCCAATTTGCCCCTGCCAGGTGCCAAAGACTTGTTACCAGGCCCATTAGAAAAAAAATTGCGGTTAGTCAAATAGTGTTCATACGTAAATGCTGTACTCATTAGGCTATTTTTGTAGAAACAAGCCAATAATTTACAGCCATTTTATCAACACAACATAAAAATCTATAATCAAATGTGAGTTTCTAGATCAGGGGTCACCAACTGAGAGCTACTTCAAGGGCACTCAGTAATTACAAAGAGCTACTTGTCTGATACAGACTTCCAGAACAATGTAATAATAATTAGTTCTGAGGCAACAGTAGACAGTCTTCTTACCAATGTCACTGAACCCATTTGAATATCATTCAAAAAGCACAGTAATAGTAAAATGTTTGACCCTCTTGTTGACTAGTTTTATTTTAAGAAAATACCCTCCGGGCACCTTAGGCGGTCCATGGGGGCTACCAGGTGCCCCCTCACCTCGGTGATGGGTTAAAAGCAGAGGCTCAATTTCATTATATCCCTTTGTTACAAGTTACAAGACTATAATAATAAAATCTATTTATTCTTGCTGTTTTGTAGCAAGAATAACCTTAAGCAATAATAAGTAACCTATTAGTGCTACATATGCTATATATAAACACAAAAACCATGTGTTTTTAGAGGTACGTCTGAAGTGAGCTGACGCCTGCATGGGCTGTAGCTTTGCTTTTCTATTGTAGTTAACACTGGATTCAGCTCTGTTTTTGTTTCTATGAAACTTGCTCTGAACATGTTGAACAGTTATATTTTAGGAATCATTTGGTATTGAAATGGGAAAGTACCTTAAGGATGTCAATGTTAAATGTCAGTGATCATGTTTTATACGGTGTTATGCTCATATTATTGTTTTTGGTTTAATTACTTTAGAAAATACTATCTCTTGGCTTTATTTATTATATTATAATGTACTTTGTAACTTGAACTAACTGTTAGCATAGGAACAAGTGAAAGCAGCACTTTTGGGGAGAATATATGTGTATATTGATTTTTGTTTCTGTTGTATAACTTATTGTGTCTGATTGAAATTAACATGTATATATTGCTTTTCTACCTTTCTTTTATTGCCCAGGATTCTTTTCTAAATAAATATTTCGAATGACACATAAATACATTTGTTTACATGGTGCAAAACCTGTGCTTATTTGTACATGTCGTATGTGTGCAGTCTCAGCAGGGAAGACACTAACATACCTATGGCAATTCTCATCTAGGTCAAGTTTGAAGTTCCGTTAAGCAACTGGATGTGAAATCTTTCAAGAAAATGTTTCGCCTCTCATCCAAAGAGCTTCTTTAGTTCTAAACTTGTGGTGAGGTGTACTTGAATTTGTACACTGTGGGTTGGACCAAAAGAAAAGGTAAAATTGGGGAAAGTCAGAGGGGGAAGTGTTAACAGTGGCTTGTTGTCACCAAGTAGATCTGGTGAAGAGTGAATATTCTTGGCATTGTTTCTAAGGGTGCCATCACACTAAGGTCGTTGTACCGACCCAGCCGTGTTTGCCCCCTAAGGTCTGGATTCTATGGCTAGTGTGAGTGCAACTCCTCCACATAACTGCAGTTCAATCTAAACTAGGGATGGCTAAATACCAGTTTTTCATGTCTGATACCGATACTACAACGTGGAGTATCTGCCAGTACCAATATTAATCCTATAAATATTATCTTCCAATTGTCATTTATTAAGGTATGTTACAAAATGTATTTATTTCTAAGTTGAATTCAGGTATAAGATTATCTCCTTGGAAAGACATGCAGTTCAAATTTGTTCAAGTTCACAATGATTTCTTTAGATTTTCTATTTTATAGTTCTAGCCCACCTAACCCTTGGGGTCGCAGTGCCATTGCAGGGTGTGTGTGAATGAAAAATAAGTAATGTAGCATATTGTCCAATGCTGTAAATGTTTAACAAAGGACTGGCAAAAAAAACAGACTGGTTGACGGCAGTGTAATGAATGAATATCTAGTAATAATAATAATAAGGGATGCACCAATTTTTTGGCAACCAAAAGACTTTTATCATCGAAACAACACAGCGAAACAGGAAGTTATGGTGACACAAGAATAACTGCAGCCAGCGAGGGCTTGTCTGAATACCTGTGGTGTGGACGTATTTCAATTAATCTGAGAAAGACTGACGGATAGCGATTTGCAAAATGTGTAATGCTAAGATTTCAAGAGGGGGTAATAGAGTCATTCAGCACACGTTTCACTGAGATCTATTCAGATCCCCTGCGCTCGTCACGACTATATATATTAGGAGGAGATGAGGAAGCGATAGGTAGGTTTGGTGTTAGGGAGAGAAACTTGGAAGGACAGGCAGTGGTAGATTTCGCAAAGAGAATGGAAATGGCTGTGGTAAACACCTATTTCCAAAAGAAAGAGGAACACAGGGTAACATACAAGAGTGGAGGCAGGTCCACACAGATTGATGAGCCATACGATGAAGATTTGGGAAAGTAGTTGAAGTTAGGTTGAGGCAGGGAGTGGAGATTTGTGAACAACAGTATGGTTTCATGCCTAGGAAGAGTACCACAGATGCAATATTTGCCTTGAGGATGCTTATGGAGAAGTACAGAGAAGGTCAGAAGGAGCTACATTGTGTATTTGTAGATTTAGAAAAGGCATATGACAAAGTGCTAAGGGAGGAATTGTGGTTTTGTATGAGGAAGTCAGGAGTGGCAGAGGAGTATGTTAGTTTGGTGCAGGACATGTATGAGAATAGTACAACAGTAGTGAGGTGTGCTGTTGGGAGGACAGAAGACTTCAAGGTGGAGGTGGGACTACATCAAGGATCGGCCCTGAGCCCCTTCTTGTTTGCTGTGGTGATGGACAGATTGACAGATGAGGTCAGACAGGAGTCCCCATGGACTATGATGTTTGCAGATGACATTGTGATCTGTAGTGAGAGTAGGCAGCAGCTAGAAGAGAACCTAGAGAGGTGGAGGTTTGCACTAGAAAGAAGAGGAATGAAGGTCAGTCGCAGCAAGACAGAGTACATGTGTGTAAACGAAAGGCAGAACAGTGAAATAGTGAGGCTACAAGGAGCAGAGGTGGTGAAGGTGCAGGAGTTTAGGTACTTAGGATCAACTGTTCAGAGCAGCGGAGACTGTGGAAGAGAGGTGAAGAATAGAGTACAGGCAGGATGGAACAGCTGGAGAAAAGTGTCAGGAGTGATCGGTGGCAGAAGAGTGTCAGCTAAGGTGAAGGGAAAGGTTTACAGGACAGTGGTGAGACCAGCCATGATGTATGGTTTAGAGACAGTAGCAATAGGCAGAAGACAGGAGGAGGAGCTGGAGGTGGCAGAGTTAAAGATGCTAAGATTCTCTTTAGGAGTGACAAGAATGGACAGGGTCAGGAATGAGGTCATTAGAGGGACAACACAGACAGGAAGGTTTGGAGAAAAAGCTAGAGAAGCCAGATTGAGATGGTTTGGACATGTGCAGAGGAGGGACAGTGGATACATTGGTAGAAGAATGTTAGAGATGGAGCTACCAGGTAGGAGAAAGAGAGGAAGGCCAAAGAGGAGATATATGGATGCAGTGAGGGAGGACATGCAGGTAGTTGGAGCTCACACGAGAAATGATGGACACGGAGAACGCATGCACACCATAGTAATAACATTTGAATGGACACAAAATTTTAATCAATTGACCACTTTTGTAATAGCAAGTGTTTTAGGGGAGTAAAACCACTGGAGTTTACAAAAATACCATGTCAGTGAGAAAATTCAGCAAGGAAATCTGTCAACATAATAATGTGTAAAACAAGAAATTATTTTGGCACAGTTTGTGTGGTTAACATTTACCACAGAAGTTATCCAAACAAGCTAATTTACATGTTTTTGACAGGACTCAATGTATAGAAGGGGTGAAATAAGGAGCCTTTTGGTGGAAGTCCAAATTTTTCCACCTTGGAGTTGAGAACCCACCTGTGTTAATTTTAACAGCAATTTCTGTGTTGAGGTTGGGATTTTGGTGTAGCGGTAGAGGGCAAAGTTTGTTTTTTGGTGCGTAAGTGAACCCGTATGCCTGCACTCTGTCTTCTCTGTCCACAGCTGCTGGTGATTGGAGCAATGGAAGTGGCATGCACCTGTGGTAATCCCAATCAGGGTTGAGAAATGTATTTAAGGCCCTGCCGCCAGGGTAATTTGGGTAGTATGGTAACTTGTGGTCTAGTATCTCAAAGCATTACAGCATTACAAGCATTGGTGGTTCAGTGGTAGAATGAAGCATTACAGCATTACAAGCATTAGTGGTTCAGTGGTAGAATTCTTTCCTGCCATGTAAGAGGGCCGGGTTTGATTCCTGGCCAATGCAAGACTGTTTTAGGACAGTGGTGGCTTAGTGGTTAAGGAAGCGGACACATTTAATTGTGTGCAGTTGTGTGCTGTGTCACAATGACAAGTAGTTCACTTTCCTCTCTTTCCTGAACACGGCAAAAGAGATTGCCATGTGGTAATGGTGATTTCACAGGGGACACGTTGCACTGTTGGGACACCACTTGGGACGTATACGCCCCACTGCCAGCCAGCAGCACCTTCATATGAACTGCCGATACATTTATTCTTTGACTTGTTAATAAACTCTAACTTGCCTTCTGGAAACCACGATCCTACTTTTGGGTCTATCCAATCCCTGTTGTGAGAGCGTAACGTTCCTCGACTTTTGGATAACATGCTATTTAGTTTTAGTTATCTGAAATCTAGTTTAAGTAAACATTAAGCGTTTTAGTCAGATAAATCTGTGGTAGATTTAGTCGACTAAATGTATTTCTAGAATTTCCAGTCATTGTATACATATCCATCTATCTTGCTTTGCTCTGGTATTAAGGTTTAATTGTCAAATACAGGTGTGGAAGAAGAAGAAGATTAAGAAAATAAATGTGCAATTTTCAAAAAAATAAAACAATGTTTGTGGCTGTAATGCCATTGCACACAATCCCGAAGAAATACATAATGTTCTAGTAAGTCAACGAAAACATGGCCCTCACAGCACTAAAAACACAGTATTTACAGCAAAATATAAATTTAAAGATAACAAATAAAGAAAATAAAAACAACTCAATTAGCATTTGTGGCTCTGCTTCTGGAGTTACTAATTTACCCTCTCAGATTTTCATCTCCTTTTGTTTCATTTACCTCATTGTTGTCATAGCCTTTGTCATTATAGCATTTATTTAGCTTTGTCTGCTAGAAGGCGTTGCTGATGAATATTTTCAGTCACAGTCTTCATGAACAAATTTAACACTTGACATGTGTAAATGGTGTCACCTGAAACATCTAGTAATTGAAGTAAAAACATCTATTGATTAAAATATTTTTTTTCAGGTACAGATACAGTACCAATATCCTTTATAAAAAAAAATCACATTTGCAGAAAACTGGATACAGATACAGTATGGAACCAATATCCTTTATAAAAAAAATCACATTTGCAGAAAACTGGAATCTACAGCATTTTACAACATGCGCCTTGGCACTTCCACCTGGTATGCACATTTTCCATTTGTCTGCAGGAACGTAATGGTCATCTGCTGCTTGGTTACTTGAAAGTAAGCCACTCCTCCAACGGTGTGATTGACAGGACTGGAGTAGAGCTGCCAGGACCGAGGAACACTGTCCTCGTGAGTGGTGTCAGGGTCACTGATTGTGCCACTTCCACTAACCACATATGGGCTTCCGTCATCCTCTCTAATAAACTGTTGGGGGGAAAAAAAATACATTTTTGGCTTAAATATATTTTGTTAAGTTATGCAAGACGTTCGTCTTTAATTTTTCATTTTAAGAACTTCTCTGCACTATTTGCTAGAAATAGGGTAAAAAAAGAAAATACTTAAGTATATATACATAAGCATATATATATATACATAATCATATATTTAGAAATATATAGTAAAATAGATATATAATTAAATGGAATTCCAGATTGTGTTTCTGCATGAGTTAACAGTTACATACCTGCTGATTGTGGTCGTGGCCACACAAATATACTGTGACTTTAAACTTCTTCAGCAGGGGCCTTAGCCGTTTAAGCAGACAGGATGTTGGTCCGTGATGTCCAATGGACCAAACAGGATAATGACCAGCCACTATAACATATTCTGACCTGCAAAAATATGTTAATGATGCATTCCAAGCATTTCAGGTACTATAACTCTCAAAACAGTTGACAGAGCTTCTTGGAGATATGTCAGTGAATGCAGAAGGATTCCATTCTCGCTTTAAAAGGACATGATGTCCTACTGCTAGCCACAAAGCCACCTTTTTCGTTGGAGTTCCACCACTGACTGCTCTTGTGAATATGGACCGACATAAGTACATTTTTATGGTGGCTGGTGTGACTTATACTCTGCAGCGGCTTATATATGTTTTTTCTTCTTCTTATGCATTTTGTGGCTGGTGCGACTTATATTCTTAATGACATATAGTCCGGAAAATACGGTACATATAAAACTAAAAAAAAGGTCTCTGGAATAAACAAAACCAAAAACTAGGCCTGAAAAAAAAAATCTAGGCCCAAGTACCCAGACCCTTATTATTTTTTACCTTGGTCTAGAGAACTTGTTTCTCTGGTTAGGAGTCCCCCTCTTAGACCAAGGCACTCCAAGAGTCACTACCAGCTTCTGCTGCTGAACTGAGAGTTGCCCAGGGCAGTACTAGGGAGATTCCTCAGGTTTAGTTTATTTACAAGGTGCAAAATTACCTCACATACCTCGCAACCAACAATGCTTCTATCATGTTGCCAGAAAACCCAATCTTCTTCTTTTTCTTTTGGCTTTGTCCCTTTTTTTTGTCAGGGGTTGCCACAGCAGATCATTGATTTCCATCTCTCCCTGTTCTCTGTATCTTCTACTCTGACTCCAACTATCTGCATGTCCTCCCTCACTGCATCCAAATATCTCCTCTTTGGTCTTCCTCTCTTTCTCCTACCTGGTAGCTCCATCTCTGCCAGAAAACCCAATAACCTTGTTATTTAATTTATCTTAGTTTATAATGTGACCTACAATACCTTACAGAGGATGATAATCTGACTTTTGTTATGTCACACAAACACGGACAACGGCTGTGTCAACTGTGTACTTTATTTTCCTAAAACATAACTGCTATAACCATAACTGCCAACACTTTTACACCAGTCTCTCATGACGTCACACTGTCATAAACAGGTATACACCACAACCTTGATCTGACCCTATAAAGTAAATGTTTCAGAATGATCTTTTCCCATAGGAAAAAAATGTGAGCTCACCTACTGGTTGCCAGCTTGGTCTCGATCCAGGTCCACTGAGTTTCTGCTGCTCTTGAATCCTCTGCTCCCAAAGGCTGGATATGGTTATAAGTGTTTCCACATAGCACCACTGTGTCAATCATCAAGATGTGTACAGACACATTTGTGTGAGGTACAGTAAAATGAAGGTCATAATAGAGAGCAGGGTAATTCCTACAGAAACAAAACGGACCTTATGTTATGAGTACAAAATTAATTTTAAAAAAGAATGTTGTAAAAAAGTAAAGGCATAAACTGACATGAATTGTAGGAACGAGCAATGAGCACTTGTTGAGAATGAGCTTACGATGAGTCAGAAGTACTTTACTGTTGTTTTTGTTTAACTTTAGACAGAAGAGGAAAAGACAGATTGGTGGAGGAATAGGGTAGAGATGGAAAGTAGGTAAAGCAGAAATGTGGGCTTGTTAAAAGAGGAAAGTAGCACACACACACAGTAGTCAGAGTTGTGATAAAGGTTGGACAGTAATAAGAGACGTAAATAAGGAAATGGGATTTGGATAGATTAGTGAATGAAAAAACTACAGAAATGATGCACAGTGAGTTAAATCAGCAAAGAAAAATGGGGAATAATGTTTCTGTGGACCCAGAAGGCATTTTCTAAGGTCTCACAGCACGAAATGTAGTACTGTATAAGAAAGTCTAAAGAGGCATTGAAGTATACGAGGGTCGTACTGGAACCAGGAAAAAAAAATGTAATTAACTAAAAGTATATTTACTTTGATATTGAGGATTGTCAAGGAGATGGTACTTCCTTGCAATCCTTAACATCCATTTCTTGTTCAGCACCAGCCATCATCCATTGACAGGCTAGAGTCTGTCTCTTAGTCAACGTTCTCTGGCTACATTAACATAGTGGGAAATCCGTGCACGCATGCCCACGATATTCTATTTCAGTAAACACAGATTGTGTTTCTTCGCATTTATTTTAATAATATTTATTTTAAACTACTCAATTACAGTAACATGAGTATATGTAATTTGTTACTTTCCACCTCTGGTTGAGAGCAAAAAAGGAGTTTAGAATGAGGTACTGCAATTGTGTTTCAATAAAGGTTCTTCAGAGCACTGAGGCATCTGAAAGGTCTGATGCAGGGCATTAAACTATTTTTAGAGGACAGATCATTTGGCAAAACCCAGGCACTGCGGTTTTTAATATCTGAGGGAAAAAACAATACAAATTCTTACAAATATTCCATAATTATGCTAATATTCGCCGACTGATATTATTGGACATCCCTAAGTAGTAGTTATCTCTGTCAAAACTGTACTTCATTCATATAAACATGAATTACTTTGAATATTTTGAATGTGTACAGTATGTGTGCTGTCAAGCACCAGTATGTGGAAAATAAATGAGGAGGCATCTTTTGGGGGTTGGAGGTGGTGGGGGTACTGTAGTGTTTTGAACTTCGTTGGGTGTTTTGTTAGGCTGGTGTTTTTGGAGGAACAGTGGTAATGTATGAGACAGTAGTCAGGAGTGCTGTCGGGGTGATGGATGGGTTCAAGGTAAGGGTGGGGTTGCATCTGAGATCAGCTCTGTTGATGGACAGGTTGAAAGATGTGGGCAGGCTCCATGGACCATAATGTTTCCAAATTACATTGTCATCTGTCGTGAGAGTAAGGATCATGTGAAAGGAGCATGTGGAAGAAACGAGATTGAACAATAAAAATGCAATAAAAAACTTAGCAAAGGTCGATCAGTTTAAATACCTAGAGTTACAGTGCAAGAGATAAAGAAAAGGGAGGGTGGTAGGGTGAATGGATGGAAACAAGACTCTGCTGGTTTGGAGAAGCTGGCTGCGGAACAGACAAATGGTTGAGGTGGAGGTTGTAGAGATGGACATGAGATGTGACCAGGAGGATTCAAATGAAAAGATTAGAGGGACAGTTGAGTTGGAGACATTTGTAGATAAAGTTACAGAGGCCTTTGAGATGTGTTGAGGAGACTAAAACAGTTGGAAAAAAGAGTTGCTAGGAAAGAGAAGAGGAAGACCTCAGAACATTCTGTCTTCCCTTACTGCTTTCTCCCACAATTCCCCCTTCTGTCTTTGCTGAACCAGAAGACAACACTAAGCCTGGCTCTGCAGGTGATTTCTGCCTTTTTAAAAGAAAGTCTTCTTTCCTGCCATTGCCAAAATATGACTGTACAAAACCATCGAAACAAATTCATTTTGTGAATTAAATAAAAAATGATTTGACTTATGAATGTTTATCAATATTTTTACTTGTTTTTTACCCTTGATACTACAGGATTCCCAGAAAAGATTGTCACAGATGAGAACACTGTTGCAGATGAGACTCGAGAAATACAAGTTTTATATTACTAACGTTATCTTATTAACGTGAAGATGATTCCATCTTCACGTTAATAAGAACTAATAATTAGGCTCCTGGTATAAGACCTTTGAAACTTTCTACTAAAACGTTTACTTACCAGCGGCGGGATATATCAGAGTAAGCTATTTGAGCTGAGATGTTTCCTTTGTGGTCATGGTTTCCAGCGACCAGGAACCATGGGACATCCAGCAGAGATGACTGATAGAAGACATTTTCAAACGTGTTCTGTAGAGGGAAAACCACATTACCTTATAATGTTTCATAAATCCTGGATATATTTGTCACAACACTTTCAACATAGTATTTTATAGTTCATATACCCTTCACTTTCACAAACTCAGGGTCATCCCTCCTGTTTTTGTAGCTTGAGTGGCTAAAGAAGTCCTACGGTATGTGACAAATTGAAAGCTTGTGAGCTCCATTGTTTACCAGTAGAGGCTTTGTTTTAAACTTTGGCCTGGATCAGTGGTTCTCAATTATTTTATTTCATGCCCCCCTTGGTCTGTTCAAACCACTGTATGAGTTGCTGCCACCTTGTAGACAGAGTTCCCTTCCAAAAATTTAGGCTCCAGCACCAGGGATTCCACCAGACGTTCCCAACAGACCCTCACGATACGTTTGGGTCTGCCAGGTCTATCCAGCTTTGCCGCCTGTAAGCGGAGCCAACTCACCACCAGGTGGTGATCAGTTGATGTCCTGGTGCCAAGTGCACTGATGGACACCCTTATGCTTGAACATGGTGTTTGTTATGGACAAACTGTGACTTTGCAGGGAGGCCGTTCTTCCCAATAACGCCCTCCAGGTGTCACTGTCGCTGCCCAGGTGGACGTTGAAGTCCCCCAACAGTACGATGGAATCCCCGGGAGGAGCACTGTCCAGTACCCCTCCCAGTGTCTGCAAGAAGGCCGGGTATTCTACACTGCTATTCAGCCCGTAGGCTGAAACAACAGTGAGACACCTATCCCTGACCCGAAGGCGCAGGGAAGCGACCCTCTCACTCAGTGGGGAGAACTCCAACACACGACTGGCAAGCTGGGGAGCTATAAGTAAGCCTACACCAGCGCGCTGTCTCTCACCGCGAGCAACTCCAGAGTAGAAGAGAGTCCAGCCTCTCTGAAGGAGTTGGGTCCCACAGCCCAGACTGTGAGTGGAGATGGGCCCGACTATATCTAGTCGGTATCACTCAAACTCCTGCACGAGCTCAGGCTCTTTTCCCCCCAGCGAGGTGACATTCCATGTCCCCATAGCCAGAGTGGTTGTCCAGGGATTGGGCCATCGGGGTCTCTGCCCACAACCACCATCCAAATCACAAGGCACCGGCCCCTTGTGGGCCTTCCTGCGGGAGGTAAGCCCACTGGAAAGCGGGCTCAAGGCGCTTGTTCGGGCTGAGCCCGGCCGGTGAGCAAGGACCCGGCCACCATGCGCTCGCCTGCTAGCCCCAACCTCGGGCTGGCTCCAGGGTGGGGCGTCAATCCGGGTGACGTGAACCTCTTTGATTTAATTATTTTCTTCATCAAGGGGGGTACATATTGTACTTAAATTCTTGTGAGGCAGTAGTGGCTTGGGAAGCGGACTTGGGTCCGGAAGGCTTCAGGTTTGAGTCAACCAGCTGCCAAGTTCCCACTGAGGTTCTCAGAGCATGGTACCGTCCCCACACACTGCTCCCCGGGCACTTAAAGCTGCCCACTGTTCACTTTGGTGGGTTTGATGGGTTAAAAGCATAATTTCGTTGTGTGCAGTGGTCACATTTCGTGGTGTGCTGTGTCACAATGACAAGTAGCTAATTTCTCTCTACCTTGAAAAAAAATGTTTTGAATATTTTATAAAATTTGAAATTATTTTGTGCATGTTGATTATTAAAAGAATATCCAGAACAAAGTGTGATTATTTTTGTATTTCAATTGAAACACTCCCACATTCGATTCTCTCCCTCTCTATTTTTTACTTCATGAGTTCTAACTTGTTAATAATCCAAATGAAATGTCAAAAACTTTAAGGACTCAGATTTAGTCTTTTTTTTTTTTTTACCTTAAAGCGTAAATCCTCCACATTCTGAACGCCGTAAAAATAGAAGTGATCTCCCAGACTAAGGACAAAGTCTAGTTCCTCTGTCCGGGTAAGCCTGTCCAGCTCTGCTGCAACTGCCTGTTCATGAGCTGTATAGTAAGGAGGGACAGGAATCCCACCCCAGTCAGCTACCACAGCAAAATGAAGAGCATCTGATAGAAAGCAAAGAAAAAGATTTTGTTTAGAAAAGTATTTTGTACTTGCTTCCTATAATATAAAAAGTGAAGTGATAGACAAGTTCAAATATGGGTTTGAAGGGGGTGTTATTCATTGACGATATTTCAATAGCAACCGTTTCTGATGTATAAGTGTAGCTATTTAAAAACACAATAGCACAATAATATTATTATGAATCCAAAATGTGTTAATCGCATGATGAAAACATACATCTATCAGCTAAATCAATAAGAGTTATTGTACCTTGCTCAAGCGTTGGCAGTAGTAAGCACCAAAGTCCAAGCAGCACACACTGTAGCTTAGGCTCCATGTCTTTTCAGTGTGAACTCAGATCGGAAGTACAGTAAACTGATTTATCCTTTTACTTCCTGTATTACATCAGACTAGAAAAACAGGATAACAGCAGATCACAAAGGGTGACTTCACATGTCTAGTTGCAATAATTCACATGGGGACAACAAGCCTCCACTTAGCTCAGTGGTTCACAAAGTTTTTGGTCTGTGATCCCATTGTTAATGTCGGATGACCTTAGAGGTATTTTTCATTTTGTTTTTTATTGCAAATACAGAGTAGCCAGATTAGTACAGTTTTTTAATTATCATTTTTTTAAAAACCAAACAATTATTAGATATTTTATGTGAAACCAATGTTGAAAACCACTGTATCCTTTTTTTTGTGCACTGCCTTTTACATTTATGCGCATGTGTCTTTCAATATTTGTATTTATTTTCTAATGATTTCTACTATTTTTAACTACTTTGATTTGACAACACATTTTCTTACAAGAGAATTCCAAAAAGAGAGCTTTAAATTTCTAGTGTTAGGAGTCTTCAGCCCTTAGTCTTTTCAAATATGAAACTAATCATCAATTTCCTTGTCATTTCAAAAATGTAAGAAGATTTCATTTTAATCCATTTAATTGGCTTTCTGTACAAAATGACACCTCTGAGGTCTTGCTTTTAAACATTTACATTGCACTGAAACAGCACTTTTAATGAGCTACAAATCTTAACAAATGGACAATGGAAATTCACTGTATTGATGCAATTGACAGTAAAGTGGAACTTCGAGGTACAAGTGTCCAGACATACGAGTATTCCAAGATACGAGCAATCATTCAAGCATGCGCCCTTATTACCTGCCCCGTGACTTCTCACAAGTTATAGTGATGGCAGTGTACATTCACCCAACGTACACTGACGCTGCAACTACTTGTGAGACTCTTCTTTCTGTGGTGTCACAGCTCCAAACAGCTCACCCTCAATCCCTTATTCTTATCTCTGGGGATGTCACGATGACAGTCGTGACTGTCGTTCCCTGTGTTTCCCTCTTGTTTTCCCCATTCTTGTGTTGTGCACTTGTCTCTGTCTGTGTGGTGGGCGTGGCACATTTCCCTGACTCTGCCTGGTTAATTACCGAAGCACACCTGCTGTTCCTCATCTTCTCCAGGAGTGCAGAGGAACATGTTCGCCATGTCAGACAAGTCGTCCAGAGACTCTTGGATAACAAATTGTTTGTTAAGGTTGAGAAGAGCGAGTTCCATGTGTCTTCAGTGGCGTTCCTGGGATACATTTTCGAGAGCGGGCAGGTGAGCACAG